TTCCTTACAAAAAGGATTATTATTCTTAACGAATTACTATGAATAAAATCATTTGATTAATCTCTTCTTGCTTTGCTTGCAAAAACCTTCCAAAATCGAAGCCCGTCTGAAAGGACCTCATGAAGGTTCAAATGTGCACTAGGAAGCACGCATACCTTCCTCCTATATTTGCAAGCATTTCCCCTCTTGTTTTCATGAAGAAGCCTACCTCTTGCCAATTTCTTGAGCCTAGCACGTCTCCTCCTCGCCTTTCTCCTTCTCACGGTCCGCCCCCTTCCTTGTTCGCTTGGTTTGCACAACACCCACCCTCCCAAGGCCCACCTGCTTAACTAATGGGAAAGCAAGAAATGCAAAAGGCAATATACAAGGCTACACAAGAAGCTATAAGAGGAAAAATTAAAACAGGAATTGTAACTAGTGCAAATTAATAAAACTAATTAAAAACAACATAATATTTGATTCACAAATTAATAAACAATCTAGATTTTGAATTCTAGTTTTGGGCAAATTCCCAAAGGAGTCTCCCAAATATTTTTATGCTGTCAATTTAGTACCAGAGTAACAAAATTCTCCAAATCAATCTATCAAGCATATAAAATTGATCCACAAGATTTTCTCAGGGTTAAATTGGGTATGTTCAATGGACTAAATTGAGATTAATCTTATATCAGAATCATTACATGAGGATAATATATTGGATTATTATATAATTAAGAGATAACATTAAATTAATATGATAACAATGGGATAAAATTGGTTGTATGCAAATAGTTTTTTTATTTCGAGATATTAACTAATCCATGAATTGCAGTTAGGAAATTTGGAAGAGCAAAATCAACTAAGAGAAGAGAATGAAATTTTAAAGAAGAAATTGGAACAGCTTCAAACAGATCGTTGTGAAGATGTTGAGGAGTTGGTTTATCTTAGATGGATCAATGCTTGCCTGAGGTATGAGCTGAGGAATTATCAGCCTCTTCCTGGAAGAACAGTAGCAAGTGATCTTAGCAGATGTTTGAGCCCCAAATCCGAACAAAAGGCCAAGCAGCTGATTCTAGATTACTCAAATTCCCATTTGAATTCTAACCGTTCAAGTTTAATGGACTTTGATTTAGAGGATTGTTTTTCTCAAACATCAAGTGAGGAGTTCGATGAAACTTCCCAAGACTCTTCAAAGTCAAAATCCAGCAAATCAAAAATTTTTAACAAGCTTAAGAAGCTTGTGCTGGCAAAAGGCCGCAATGAAGATAAGGTGGCGATGAGAACTGGCAGTGATTTGAATGCTGAAAGAAAGGCTTCAGTTTCAACTTGCACAGTTGATGATTGTAGAAGAAAATCATTTGGTAGCGGTTCAGGAATGGAATTCTTTGGTAATGAGAAATGGCACATTAAAAGAAACCATTCTCACGATCTGGTAAGGTCTTCTTTGGATATTCAAAATCTAAGAAGGCTCAACCCGGAAGATGTTAATGGTGGGATGCCTGAACGCTGTAATAGTGATCTTGGAATGGTCTATGCTCATAGGAGGATGCTTTCTTTGGATGAGAACTCAACATACAGTAGTTGTCACGATCTGGTAAGGTCTTCTTTGGATATTCAAAATCTAAGAAGGCTCAACCTGGAAGATGTTAATGGTGGGATGCCTGAACGCTGTAATAGTGATCTTGGAATGGTCTATGCTCATAAGAGGATGCTTTCTTTGGATGAGAACTCAACATACAGTAGTTCTGTTGACTACGTAGAAGGCAGCGATCCTGAGAAGGAGAAGCTCAAGAAATTTGCTCAAGTCTTCAAGGATTCTCAGGGATCTCTAAATTCTAAGAGACTACCAACATCATTGAGTATCACCTGATTAATGAGTGAAAGGTGGTGTTTATATATGTTATATTCCTGAACTTGCCTGAGGACTGGGTTAGATGGACATTTAGTGTAACTGCTACTGATTTGTCTAGTAAAAACTGATCATTCCAAGTATAAGGAATTCAGCAAATATAAAAATTCCAAATAATAATTTCAGGTATAGTGTCTTATAATGCTGTTTTGTTTTTCTTTTTTGAATGAAGTTATTCTAGCTCTGTGCTTGTGAGAAACTTTCTTTGAAGGAAATAAAAGGAGTTACTACATCTCTTTGTTTTAATAAATGTTATACTAACTATGGGTATGAGAGACTTTCTTTTGAGGAAATATGAGCGGGTGGAACCGCTCTACTGGCTTGATGCTCAAGTATGTATTTGTTGAACCACTCATTGTTTTTTTGGGATGTTATTATTGATACAATGAATCTGATTATACAAAACGTAAATGTGTGTGTGTTTTTTTTTTTTGTGAAAATGATAAGGGGTTGCCCAATTTTATTAAGTGAAAATATTACAATATTGGTATAAAAAGAAGATTGTTGTTGATGATAAGATTATTAATATTATAAGTGTTTATGTTCCTTTAAATAGGTTTGGATATGAGTTCTAAATTAAATTTTTGGAATAACTTGGAACAATTATTACAAAAGATACCTCTTGAAGAAAGTTTTTATTGGAAGATATTTAAATGGACACGTTGGTAGAGAGGTAGATGAATTTAAAAGCATTCATGGTGGCCATGATTTTGGAATGACAAATGAATGTGGCAATATAATATTAGATTTTTATTTAGCTTATGATTTTTCAATTGTTAATACCTTATTTAAGAAAATGAATGATCATCTCATTTTTTTTGGGAAAATTTTGGGGCATGGCCCATTTTATTAAACTAAAGAACAAAAACAAAAACAGTTACATTGAACAAATAGAATTGATAAAAACAACTGAATAAAATAAAAATTAAAGAAAACCAAATGGATTGACTCAACTATGGCAAACAATCCGCATAGTGAGTAACAGTCGCAAACCGGACTTAGGCTAAGTGACTTTGCAACCTCCATCCATCAGAAATCAGGAGTAGAATGATACAGAAGCTTGATATGTAACAGTTATGAGCAGGCTAAGGTTGCCATAGGACCAACTAGGAATAAACAGGCCAACACGGGGACCTCTAGGAGAGCCAGCCACAACCAGAACCAAAGCATGCAAACAAACAGCATCGCAGTGGTTGCCAATGTGACCTTCCA